ACCTTTGGGAGTCTTTTTTGGAGGCTTACACTGGATATTTTTTAAGAAGATGTTATTTACAATGATTTTTTGAAAACTGCCAAAGAACAAATAATCTTAGAATAGTCTGAAAAACTTGCGATCAATGCTTACCTCTACGAGCCCCTTCCCACTTCAGTTGGACCAACTAATGAAATCTTAGTTTTTTTCTTATCAAATACAAATGCTAAATATGTAGTAGGGTGTTATAGGTTTAAAATATTAACAATGAATATTTTGATAATATATAGTAGAAAACACCAACTTTTATTACTCCCTAATCATATTTGCAGCACAAAAATAACACATGTTGCAATTACAGCATACCAACCTATTTTCATTTCAATGCAAAATAAGTCGCATAGGTGGCTGTGAAAAATAAAAGCCATGACAATTGTTTTTACTAATCACAGCTGTCAGAATACGTTTAAAATAGTTTTGGGTAGTTAAGGTTTTGAAAATGGGTAGAGGAAAGGTTATTAGTGAGTAAATTTGGTTTCTGATAATTAAATCTCTTAATTCTGGGAAATCAAACTCAGAAATTGCAACTTCGTTAGACTTATCGCGGTACAGTGTGAGAAATATCGTTAGAAGATATAACGTAAATGGTTCAGTTAATATTAAGCCACGATATGTGAAAAAAAGTAATATCAAAAATGCAGACCGAAGAGCATTAAGAAGAATAATCGTGAAAAATAGGCGTGCCAATTATTTACAATTAAGTGCTCTATAGAGTGACGCTGTTGTAAGGAGAATTTCGAGGTCCACAACTCATAGAGAGGCCCGTAAACTGGGATTTAGCACTTGCAAGGTAAGTTTTTATATAAAAAAGTGAAGTAAAAACCCTAAAGTTGCACAACTTGCTTATAGGCCAAAGAAAAGCCACTATTAACTCCTCTGCAAAAGAAGAATCGGCTCAAATGGGCTAAAGAACATAGACGATGGACACCTCAACAATGGTGTGCAATACAATGGAGTGATGAGGCCCGATTCGAAGTTTGTGTTGGCGACAGTCGCAGTAGAGTTATTCGCAAAAAAATGAAGCATTCAATGTTGACTGTCTGAAGAGAAAAGTGCATACCTTTTTGGTCTGGAGCAGTATATCATCAAAAGGAGTAGGAACACTTCATTTTGTTGATGGAAATGTGGATACAAACAAATATTTGGCAATCTTAGAAGAATCGCTTTTACCAGTGATGGAAGAATGAATGACATCCGGCCAAGATTTTGTGTTTCAGCAAGATGGTGCAACATGCCATACCTTAAAAAATGCTATAAAATGGATGGAAGAAAATAATGTATCACTTTTGAAATGGGTTTCTAGCAGTCCAGATCTGTCACCTATTGAAACTTTGTGGCACGAGATGAAAAAGGTTCTACGACAACATCCTGCTCGTACAGTCACCGAACTGAGACAAAAGCTTCAAGAAATATGGGATTGTTTTACACGAAATTTTTGCCACAACTTGGTTAACACTATGCGACAAAGAATTTCAGCCGCAATAAAAAATAAAGGTGATGTTACCCAATGGTAATCCTTCAATTGTTGCTTTGTTAACTTCGCGCATTTATTCGCACATTGTTTATTTGTTCAGATGTTCTATTAGTTATAGGTCTAAGTCATTTCAAATATGTATTTTTTACGTCTAGAGTGTATCTAAAATGTTGTTGAGAAAATAAATTGTTTTAGAAGTCATGTCATGTTCAATTGTCAATTTAATTTATATAAAACTTATAAAGGCATATTTTGGTACAAATCTTGAAGTGGGCCAACTGAAGTGGGAAGGTGCTCGTATATAATTGCTGTATGTATTGATGTACGTCTACCCGTCGGTTGGTTAGTACGCTACTGAAGATTGAATTCGGTTCGAAATTCGTCAAATCGACTCCGGGACCGACTGCCAGCTATTGTTTCTCACATACAAACACAGAAAATATTCAGGTAGTGCAGCAATTCGTATTATGGTTTCCACGTAGGAGGCGAAACGTATTACAACGTGCCCTCGTCGCGTCGCAGCTACGAAGAAACGCTGCTACAACTCGTTCATAAAATATTCCACTTCTGTTTCGTTACGTAAAAATAAAAATAAGGCAATGGTACCAGTGCCGGAGCCAAAAGACAACCGACTAGTCAACAGTAGCCACTAACAACGATTTGGAGCAGCCAATTTATATAAAATGAGAAGTTACCAAGCCTCAGCAAGCATGCCTGGAACACAGGACAGTGGAAACAGGAACAAGTTGCTATGACCTAGAAAGACGATAATAAGTTGGATTGAGGTGACTCCCAGAATAACATTTGTGAGTAGAACTTATTAAGCATTGTCGCAAATTTTCCTGTCAGAACACCATTCACCGAATACTAAAATTGAAGAATATAGATAAAAAATGCAAGCTTTACTTTAGCCGTTCATAAACATTTAATTTTTTTTTCAATTGAAGGTATTGGAACGATAATGCAGCTCCTTCGTCCCAAGTTTTCAAATAGAGGCGTTTTTTCATCTGGCTGTCAAAACGTAAGAACCTTTTATTTGAAAACCTGAGATGGAGAACGTTTATTGTCATTTAAATATTTCCAGTCAGGAAAATTATTTATAATTTTTTCAAATTCAGTTTATGAACAGCCTAGTAAGGGTTTTTTAATGTATTTTCATTTTATCGATTTTTACTTTCTAGTAAAGGGTGTCTCAATCAGAGCGCCGGATTTGATTTTCAAGAAAAACACAATTTCTTTTCGAATTAAGCTAGTAATTTATATTTCAACATGAACATAAATAGTTGCGATTAAACATGAAATAGGACATCCGGAAAATGACCACTATGAAACATCTGGCACAGGGTCAGGGTTTTCTTAAAATTCTGGATAACGTTTACGCACAACTGTGGCTCTATTTCGTCGATAACGCGCCGTATCTCTCCTTTAAGGTGTTCAACTATTTGTGGCTTGTTCGCATACACATCTTAGTGGCCAATTTTGATCGCCAAACCGAGAGATGATACGGTCTGGAAACTTGGTCCGCAGTAACACCATTGTTTCACGTGCTGTGTGCCAGGTCGCATTATCTTGTTGGAAGAACGTATCCTACATATCAATTCATCATTAACAGTTACCGCAGTTCCAGCTAAATTTTCGAAGAAATGCGGTCCAATTACTCCTCCACAGCACACGGTAACTCGCGGCGGATGCATTGGTTGTTCGATTGTTGTTTTCAGAGCCCCAAATTCGGCAGTTCTGCTCATTGACGTATCCCTTCAGTTGAAAATGTGCCTTATCAGAGAAAATGATTTTCTGCGAAGAAATCCGCATCAATTTGGTAGTGCTCCAGCGCCCAATCAGCGAATTCACTGCGCTGCGCATGGTCCGATGGCTAAAATTCTTGCATAAATTGAACCTTGTACGCATGCAAGTACAAATCTTTTGTTAAAATTCGTGTGGGTCTGGCAAGGTGCAATCCTTGACCACGATGCCGAATGGAAGTGCCTGGACTCTCAGACATATTTCCCGCACTGCGACTTTATTTTCGAGGAACCTTCCAGGACGGCGACGAACAATGGTCGACACATTCAGGAACGTGAATTTTGTCTCAAATCTTAATTAAATAGCGAGCTGTCGACTCATTTGGCGCATTATTTCGAGGAAAAATTTTATAATTAGCGAACTGTTTCCGCGTAATTCTCTTCATTTTTGTAGTGAGTTTTTAAATTAATTAAACGTTGCTCGTTTGAATACTGCTCTATGCCGCGAGGTTCTTACATGACAGCTGTCATCAGGTAAAGACCGTACCATTTGTACAAAAATGGCGGCAAATTCAAATCTGGCGCTCTTGTTGAGACACCCTTTATTTATGATGACACATAACTTGTTTGGTAACTTCTATATAACTTTCTTATGCTTTTCTTAATAGGACTCCATATTTTTGCGAAAGCCCTTGACAAGGCGTGGCACGTGGGTCTCATTTTTAAACTTGTTCAAAAGAGGCTTTCCCTTTTGGCTATTAAAACTACTCAAATCCTTCTTAGAAGCAATGAAATTCAGAATCAAAATTGATAATGTATTTTATACAACGCGGGAGTTCCACAGAGATAGGTCTTAGGACCACTCTTATACTCGATTTTTATTCACAACGTCTCCCTACCCAGCGACTGTGAAGTCTACCTCTATGCCGACGACACCGCGTTAGTAGCCAAGTCATGTACTAGTAGTCCATGACAGGCTGCAGGAAGCGATGGACGACGTTTTAGAGTGTCGAATCGGTGGCTAATCAAAATTAATTTTTCAAAGACACAGGCTATCTATTTTACAAAAAAGCGCCGTGGTGCCCCACCAGAGTTACTGTGGAGCTTCATGACGAGCTAGAGAGAGAAAGACAGATAGAGAGAGGTCCGCATCAAACTTAAATAAATAGGTCTTGTTTTTAGCCTCTAGAAGGTAAAAGCAACTGCACCAATGGTAACGGAAGCGGGCCATTGCAAGCGCTGCTCCTACTTTGAGTGCGACACGAAGTTGTTTCTTCTGAATGTATACCCACCAACCTGTGTATGCTGATTTCGATTGGTTATGAATGCTCAGACAGAATTCCTTTGTTTCAGATAATGGAAAAGTTTATTGTTTGTATACACAGAAACTGGAAATGCTGTACCATTACAGAAAGTGTTATACGTAACCGATTCAAAAACGTTTTATTTATGTGGTATATTTCACAAAGCGGAATAAAGTACAGGGTGGTGCAGAACGAATGTTATGGTTTAAGTTATTTATGACGCATCTTCTAATGTAATGTAGAGGAGAAGGCTTGGGGAATGTAGCGACACGTTCTTCTATGGTTAAAACATTTTATCGTATTTGTATGTATGGAATAAATATACTGAGTCAATAAAAAAAGGTAAACACCTACGTATGATTACTAGAATTCAAGATTTTTTTAAAATATCGATTTTTCAGAAAGACAATGCGAGACTTCATGATGTCAGAGCATCATTAGCCTTCATTAATCAACATCTCATCAACCGTTTACCTTGGCCACCACGATCGGCTGACCTACCTTCAATTGAACGTGTCTGGGACATGATAGGTATGCAGACTCTTGCATTTGCAACATCCTCCACATACTTTATCAGCTCTTACTCACAAAGTTCCAGTAGCCTGGAATGAGGTACCCCAACAGGATATCGACCACCTTATCAGCACGATGCCCAGGTTTGTCAATGAGTGTATAAGAAATCGTGGATCCTCAACACATTATTGAACCAGCTTCTGCAGTCAATTAACGAATCAAGCTGAACATTCAATCATTTTACTGGTAAGGGACACTGAACGTATATGCCAAAAATTATTAAGATCGGATAAGCATACGGGAAATATTGCCCAATACGTTTGTTTGAATTATGAAAGTGATTGTTCAGGCTACAGAGACTGAAGTGCTTTGTTTTCCTTTTCTGATCTTTTGTTTAAGGATCAAAGCTTATACTTTATGTACGTCTTGTTAATTCATACCAAGTGTTTATTCAATAAAAGACTCAAAATCTTATCAATGTAGGTCGGAAATTATTGGTAGTTACGAGATGTAAGACTAAAAATATGAGAAGACTTTGTTAGTCTAGTTGTGTTTTTGTTTTAAGTTAGCAGGATACTATTATTTTGTTTCGGTGAGGCCAAAGACTGACTTGAGACATAATCAAATGTCATTTGCATAATAAAAAGCAGTTTATTGAGTTTAATGTTTATTGTAACATTTCATCCCGCGTAGTGTAACTTCTACTCCCTTGGATGGGGTTAAAAGTTACACATCTCTTTTCTTAGATTTCTTCCACCAATGTCATTTCTGTTAGTCATTTTCACAAAATTTATTTTAGACCTATATTCTGAATAGTTATTTTACCAAATAAACCCATAGTCAGGTTAACTAATCAGAAAAATAAAAATATGTGACACTTTGAAATAAAAATGTCACAACTCTTCCCTACTACTACATCAAGAAGCAACGATTCAAAATAGGCATTCGCATATCGCCGCTACTTCAGTTCTAGGCTTAGGAACAATCAGTATCAGGAGCAAGACATCTCATTTCGGGTTTTATCCTACATAGCCGTCGTTTTTGATGAGTTGGCTGAATCAAAATCGCAATAAGCATATGTATTATTGTACACTTTTTCTGACTGAATTGTCAAAACTGTGAATCGTGGTCCGAAAAATTGTTGGAAAGGAAGCGTAGTTAGCATAGTTATATGATAATAATAACAATAATAATGATAATAAGTCGTCTTTATTTAGGGGACGAAGTTTAGAATAATGCTACTCTGCCACTTGAACAAAAAGAAAATGAAAACACTACACAAGTTTGTCAGTTGTATAGTCAACGAATTATTTATTAAGATAAAATTGACGAAAAACTACTGATATTATTTACGTGTGGTATAAAATGTAGGCATTCTTCTAAAGTTACCCTCATGTTTTTCACAGACTCGCCTACTTCTATAGACTCACTATTCAATTTTACTTTGAAATTCCTTGTTGCATCGCTTCTAAGCAGTTTTAGTGAAAAAAAAAAGACTTTTGATTTAAAATGGTTATGATCCTTTGCTTACATCCTAATAGATCTTATGTCTTCATTTATCTCAGACTCAGCACTTGGTATGCAGATCAGAAATATACCAAATAAAATATTAGTGGCCCAAGTACAGAGGCTTGGGGTACTCCGGAAGAAATGAGGCTCTTTGGAGATGGAAAAATGTCAACGTGTACCCTTTTACGTAGATTTTCTAAGAAGTTCTGAATCATATTTGAGGTAGAATCATAAAACCAAAATATTTACACTTGTCCTACAAAAGTGCGGTCGGTGGAAATGCGGTTTTTAGCGATTTTCTCTAGAAGAACTCGTCTCAGAATTAAAAAAAAAACGTAAGAGGGTGCATATATACAAAGTTGGCTACATATTCCCTTCGTAACCACAAATGAATAAAATTGATGAACACTGCAATTTACAATGAAACTAGGAAGAAAATAACATATGTATATACATTGAGTTAATGAGTCAATTATGGTATCCTACGCTTAAATTGTCAAAAGGTGGATGAAAATACCAGTTTTCCGATTTTTTGCAGTTTTTCGGGGTATTTGCTAGTGAATCTGATAAGAACGCAAGGAAGCACTGACATACATTGTATTAAGTTTGCGAAATTTTGCTTTCTTATTCAAAAGGACTTCAAAATATTTTACTGTCGAACATATACGTTCCACAAATCACAGTTATGTAGGATATAACAATATAACAAAGATAATTTTCCTAAAATTATCTGAACAAAAATGCACCCCTAGAAAATTATTTTCCAAAAAATACGTTTTCGATTTTAAGGTCCCTTGGGAGCGGCCTATCGATCTGAAAATTTTGCTATTTGAATCGACCAAGATTTGGATACCAGCAAAGGACAATATTGTACCTACATGAGAATTTACGAAAAAGTCAAGCTATACAATCCCCATCATGGATAAATGCTGAAACAAACCTACCAGTTGTATGTCCTTTCGGCTCGAAAATCGATACTGTGTCAATAACTGATATTAAAATTATATTCATATGTCGTAATACATGCACACCTTAGTTGCAAATCAATGAATGTTCTAACTTATAATAACAATATTTAGTGCACACCATGACAAATTTTATTGTTATTGTCATACAATAAATTGATTATGTGTAAGATTATTGCAATAGCAATTATTTATTGCAATGTGTTTTAATGAATATGTATGATGGAAGGTATAGCGATTCGTCTCGAGTTTGCCAACAGCCCACATAAAACGGTATTCTTACCACATATTTTTTAACAGCTTCCTTTAATTATCAAAAGTGATCAGAAGCCCTTAACAGCAGAATTTGTAATTTCCTTGAAAATCCAACACTGAGACGCAGCTTCTCGAAAATATACTCTTTAATCATGACTCTCTATGATTTTTCAGCATATCGTAATCTAAACTTCATTTACTCTGACACAGTGAGATTACGCAGTTGGGAGAAACATACTAATAGACTCATAAAAGCACTAATATGAACAGATTTCGTGACAGGATCGGAAAACTTACCAGACGCTTCTGATGATAACAATATTTCGACGCGTAAAAACAGGAAAGACATAGCATGATTGATATAAAAACATTAAACATTATAATATATACTATTTTGGGCTTAGATGTACTTTTAAAGCATCATCTTTTGATTCAAAGCTGGAACAATGTATTTACCAATCCTGTTAGTGACTAAACTTAGTATATTTCGCCCCTTAAACGAAATAATGTTGTATGTTTGTGTACCTTGGAAATTCAAGGAACATAAATACATCCCATTATCTACTGTAAAAGCTTTGTAACCGGATCCGCTTAGAAACTATCATCCTAACTATGCTTTCCCTAAAACTTTGTGCTCCTACTCAAAACGTGTATATGGGTAACTTCAAAGACCTGTATTAGATTGCATCTTGTGGCACTCCCAAATAGCTGCAAGCTATTCCTCGTTACCATTAAAATAGTTTATATAATTTCTGCTAGTGTCTATCCTTCTGCAAAGATTTTAATCAGTATTAGCTGAAATATGAAACGGAAACAGTTTCTTTACGGAAATGGGGATCTTGGCGCCTTGAGTCCGTCACAAAAGTTGTTTTTTCTACGTACTAAGTAGGTTTTTAACAGTCAGATAAATTTCAAAACTGATCACTGGTTGATGGAGGATACAAAGGGACAAAACATAAGCTCAACCAATCATGCGTCCATGATTGTACTTGCTTTAGCACTAGCCTGCTTATACGGTCTTACTCCCTACGCCAAACTGCTGATATAACCTTATGATAAGATGTTCACACACGTTTACTATGGAAGGACGAAAAAGCTTTGTAGTATTTTATCGTCGATGAAGTGGCCGCAGGGCTGCAAGCAAAAAATAAAAAAATGAATCTTCAAACTGCGTTTTTTGACGTTTTAGAGAATCCTGATCACTTCATACATAGTAGATGTTCCCGTTCGTTTGCCCTTAAAAACTGATCCACCGAGCGATTATAGTACTCGTGTATGCAATACCGTGCAGCATTGCCATGTTGCTGAGACCGCATGTTTGGCTTATGGGCTGATTATATGAGCCTTTTCGACTGACAATATTCATTTAATTCCTTTGTTGTACAGAATCGTACCCAACCTTCTTCTAAGATAAACTACTTGTGCGAAGATACTCCTTTATGAATAGGTGACAGCGTTGCATAGAAACTGCAGAGTCAACCTACTTGACGTCATTTTTTGTCTGGTACATCAGGACAAGCATGTCCAGTTTTAGGTATAAGAACGTCAACATTATTATCTGGAATATGTACTGCTTCGTGCCATATTTCTACTTTTTTGCAAGAGAAAGATTTTTTACATCTATCAGGCAGTGGAGCTTTAAAAGTTGAAAATATGCCAAATACCAACTGAAGGTGAGAGAATCTCTGGAAGTTGCATCCACCCTACAGCCCCTCGATCACCACTTACAATGCAACCACTATGGCACTATTTTTTGCATTTCAACGTGATGGGTTAGGGGATTACAAGTATTACAAAATGTAGTTAATGGTAAATAGTTTGGAGCATCGCTCTTGTCGTCCAAATTAAATGACAGAGTAGCTAAATCCATATCTCGAACATACATCTTGCTATAAATAGGTAAGTGAAAAGGCATCTTGCAAGAATTGGCCTTACACCTATCTACATAAGTAGATCATGTAGGTATAATAACAGGTACACTTTCTATCTAAGCTCACTTTTTCCTCGATGATTACCAGGCAATAAGATACGGTTCTCCTTATCGCTCCAATTTACGTAATGTACATGAGGATGTAATGCAGGTACTTCGAACCTCTAACATTATTTATACAAGGTAGAAATTACAGTTCTCGAAGCAAAATTGAATTTATGGCGCTGAAATCTAAACAGTGCTGATCATAGCCTAGACGCTCCGTGCTGGTTTTATCGCGGCATATCTGATATTTCACATCTCCACAGCTTCGCTGACAGCACTATACACGTAGGTATTTAGTGTTGCAAGCGGTCTTT